CAACTTCCCCTGAATTCACAATATTAACTCCGAAAACTACAGCAACCAAATTGTTTGTCACCTCAACCACAAAGCCAAGTAACCTTGACCCTGCTTCTGTTGTGAAACTTTCAGTAGAGAGTACCACCGGCCAGCTTGCATCCAAGGAAGTTCAATTAGGCCTAAATGTCATGAAATCGTACGTACATATTTCTAACTACTAAGTCGGTAGTCTCTAGATAACATTACATCTGTAAACATAAATGGAAGGTAGATAACTGGTAAAGATCAGATTTCATGTTTTTTTAAATTTAAATCTGACACTTGTGAGGAGTTATCTTCCTTTCTATGTTTTGATTACACTGCTAGTGTAGTAGCGTGTGTAAAATTTCAACAAAGCCAAACAATCTGGGCTTGAAATCCTCATTCACTAACCCAGTGATGGGCAAACTATGGCCCGCGGGCCAAGTCCGGACAGTGAAGAAATTTAATGTCATATGTTTTGCATTAATAATTGAATAACGAATTCATGCACAATTAAAAATTTAAAGTTTTGAGAACGAGCTGAGACATTAAAGCAACGTTTTCAATGCAACCATGTCGTTTATAAACGCTATATCCCAACACTTCACTTCTGAACCAAACAACACCATATATACATACATGACAGACAACAAAAGATCCGAAAAGAATTATTGAGCCAGATAAATCTTTTATAAAAATTGCCTAGTCCTCTGAAAATCGTTACAAATTTAAGTATGTTGTGCATTGCTAAAAGTAATAGAACACCATCTAATGGAATCTTTGCTAAACCATATATAATTCAAGTTTGCTGATTTTTATAACTCTTAACCAAGAAGGAATTTAAACTATAACATCTAGTGTCGATTCAAGACATACATTTTTTCATCACAGTTAACTTGAAGTATTGGTAACTATAAGTTCTGCTCCAAAGGCTGCTAAGGGCGAATTGTCACAGCCTGGTTATCGTTACAGGTCTGGAAGGTCTTGAGCTGGTCTGCCTTTGTGTGTTGTAGCTACCTCTTCTGGTACGACTATAAAGTTCTTTGCCTTACTAACTAAATGCCTTCTCACACGCACTATATTTGCTGGTGCGCAAGAACACTATCATGCTAAACTCTACGACCACAACATTCAGAATCATAAATAGACGCAGGGTCAGCAGACGTGGTTTTATTACATGTGTGACAGGTTAGGGAAAGTGGCGTGTGTTTGGCGCGATTAATGTCTAGGGGATGATTAGTTTTGAAATTATCACACACCAAACCGTCAGCATATGAATCGAGAGCAGGCACGCAACGAGACAAGCAATGAAAGAAAGATACAAAGTTAAAAATGAAGAATATTTATTTACATAAATATTTACATAGAAGAATAAAAAGGGGGAGGGTTTGCATCTATCTCTAAACAATACTATGTTTAATCATCACTCTTGCACTTAAGAGAGTATGTCACTTTGTCCTCTGACTTAGCTGGTTGTCCTGCTTGGGTCGCAGCTGGCTGTGTCCTAGCTTGAGGTTCTGCAGCTGGAAGTGGCGCTCTAGCAGGTAGAGGGACGCCGGTGATATAGTTCTTGTGGAGTCTCAATCCAAAGTTCTGATATCTGTAGTGGGCACAGTAGGGCGGGTGGCCGGCTACCGTGGGCACAAGTGTACTGCGGGCAGAGCGGATCTGCCGTGGGCAGCGTAGTTGACAGGATAAGTCCAGTGAGTTACGAAGTTCAGGCGGAGCTATGACGTCCCTCACAGGCTCTGGGTCTATAGGGACGTCGTACCTTTTAAGTTGCGATGTGGGCTGTCGAATAGGCAGGCGAGTAAAGCCGATAGCACCATGGATGCTACGCCCCTGAATGAAAGTGAATCAGCATTTCTAAATTTAAAGTCTTTAAAAAAACGCGAAAAAATACATAGCATTAAATTTTGATAACCTTAGATTTACTACAAAATTTCTGTATTCTTTTATATTATGACCCGTAAAAGTTTTTTCTCCAAGTCTTTGGTTAGACAATTAAAACGTTTACACACCACTGCGCTAACCAAAGCGAAAACAAGGGAACATTTTTCTTTAATATTAGACATGATTGTTCTGGGGGCATATTCAATATAGGACTGGATTAAGGTCGTGTTTTTGTTTTGTTTCCAAGAGATATAAAGATGATATTTAGCCGAAAATGGGCGTCAGAGGAGTGGTATAGCGCAAGGAATCTGAACCATGGGGTCTCGAGTTCGAGCCCTGGTGAAAACTCAATTCAATTTGGTATATGGCTCATGTTGTGAAAGCAAAGGGCTAGGTCGATCTGCTGGTCACATGATATCTTCATTAAGCGACAACTTGACATTATCTGCAATATATTAAAGGGTTACCATTAGTTTATCTTTTTTTATATTACAATCGAGTATAACAAAATTATCATCTTTCTTTTTTTTTTTGCAGATTGCATAGCTGTCTTTGTAATCCACAAACCGTAATGTGTAAAATAATGCATCAGAGTCAAGTACTTTCGACTCCAATCGCTAAATATATGGCACCAAGTCTAGCGTTCCTAAACACCTACACATGTTTCTTAGAGCAGGACAGCAACGTAACGTGCAGTAGGGTGCCTGGGGTCGAGGCTGCAGCTGTCTGCCCCAACAACAACTGTGCTGCAGATTTCACAGCGTTCGGACCCGGCTGTCAACTCCACTTCGTCAACGTAGTGTGGAGAAAAGACCAGAAGCTCTTTGTCGACCTGTGGAAAACTGAGGTCAGCAGCATCTTCAGCTGTAACGCCAGCTGCTGGAATGCGGATCTTGGAAGCGGCGACGACGATGTGGATAATGACCAGTACAACGATGATGACGACTCCGTCAACCCTATTATTATCGGCGTCGTCGTCGCTATTGGTATTATCGTCGTGGTCATCTTCCTAACCATTATAGTTTTCGTCGTTTTATCAAGGCGTAAATCTAAAGCTGGTCAGCGCCATAGAGCCTCCACGCAAGCGTTGACCAATGGCGGATTTGAATCCGGACACCATATCTTGAATTCTTCTCATTCAAGCTTAGAGGGTGATCAAGGACGCACTATAGGTGAACGGTATTCCGTCCCAGAAGTCGGTACGAAGAGCATCCATGTTTACAACGACCCAGTGGTCCAAGATCCTGGCTACGCCTACATTGACGAGGCGCAAGCTGGCACCAAAAGCGAGTACTCCACCTTAGATGAAGCTTCACAGTACCGACACGAGTACAAAAGAGCGTCCTCCAACACATCCGATCCACGACTTAGGCCCCCTCTCCCACTCCCTAAACGAACCAACAGCGAGCCCTTGCCCTACTACTCACTGGCTAAGACCTTCGGTGACACGAACGATGCGAGCGGTCAGTACTTGGAGCTCATCGGAGATAATTCAGAAACAGCCCAGGGAAAACCAGGAAGCGGTTTAACGGAAGCTTCTTTATATGGGAAAATAGAAGCAAAGGGAGAGAGCGTTAAAAAGAATGAATATTTTGAGCTTGAAAAAGACAATTATGTGCTCTAACACTTTGTGTTGTTCCTTTAAATCTCTAAAAGGAGTATCGAATACATTCGTAGTTGCCATTTTTATATGCCATTGTTATATGTTTTGATGTGCAAATTCGAAAGCAACAAGCATTGCTCTCGATACTGTAGCTTCATGTTGGTTACATATAATACTATATATATAAATAGATATTATAGCTGGTGTAGAGATTCGAAGATTGAACGGATCTAAAATAATTAGCTGAGTTTTAATTAATTTTAGAAATACATTTTTTGTACATAAGCAGTACACAGTAGATCGCCAGGTTCTCATTATTTATATTTTATGTCATCTGCATTAAGCTATGCAAGATTTATTTTTATTTCATTTATATCTGCCAATAAGTTGTTAAATGAGTGACCTCCATGGGGTTCGGTGGCTGAGGGAATAGGCGCTTATTTTCCAAACCTGTGGTTCTGGGTTTGAATCTCGGTGAAGATTGAGATTTTGAATTTTTGGATTTTTAGGGCGCCTTTAGTACAATCAGCCCTAGTACCTGAAGCCAAGCGATTCGCAACATATCAACTATGCCCTGAGTCCACCCACTGGGTACGTGACACCCTGCTCGTTAACCGATGGCAAAAAAAAAAAGATGATTTTTTACATCATCTGCCATATAGATTTAGTGACCTCCGTTATCGTATTCTGCCCCGTAGTCTAAATCACAGATTAGGCACCACAAATAATCCTCATTTCTCTCTTTTTCTCTGATAGTCCCGTCCATTTCTTCATGTCATCCCCTTGCTAGTGTTATATATAAAATTCGTACTCAAATATCTCTCTACTTCTCTTGTTTTAACATTGCAAACGGCAATTCTGAGATCAGAAAGTATGTGCTATGTAATCGAAACGCTTTTTTGTGTGTGCTAAAGAATTACGATAGTAACTCAATGGAACATGATTGGCTTGTGAGGAAAAAATTAACTGAATGGCAGAATTATTATCACTGGCCGTTGTCCTGGGTACTTGAATGTCTCTGTTCACTGGTCTTGATTTCATCGTATAGAATCTCTGATTTCGTTGACTTGATGGACATTCAAGCAGACACAAGAAGAACAATACACTTGAAAAAATGATTTACTGGATAACAGTCATGAAGAATTCAAACGATGTTTTATTTACAAATGGGAATGATCATCATCATGTCAGTAAATCCATCTGTTTGACCTAGCAGTTCCTTCACTATCTTTCTTGCTCCAAGCCCTAGCCATATTTCCCTAATGCAGGGGTTCTCAGCCTGTGGGTCGCGACCCCCTTGGGGGTCGATTTACGATTTGCGAGGGGTCGCCTAAGACCATCGAAAATATAGATTGTATTGTCTATTCTTCTATTGCTGTATGTGTGTTGGGGGAGGGGGGTGTCGCGGCAGAAAGAGGGATTGTAAAAAAGGGGTCGCCGAGCATAAAAGTTTGAGAACCGCTGCCCTAATGTGTACCCCTATTCTGCAACGCATTACGTCTGTCTGACTACGTCACTACTTATTTTACTATCACTAAATACAAAGCACAATATATTTATTTACAAAACTAGCATACTCTCTTAACTAAACTAGGTCACTGCGCTGTAAATGTGGGCATTACAATGTGTGACGTCTTTTCAAACTAAGTAGCAAGAGAGATAACTCTTGGTTTAATGCTAACTGTGTTTTCAATATTGAGTTGTCGCACTTTTAAGGAAGTCATTGCTATTATTACTATTTACAGATCACTAGAATATAATACAAAATATTATGAAAGGTGTGAACTGTGAACTAAAGTAAAAAGCTGTTTCTTTAATGCTATTGATATGAAACCTAATTTTAAAACATGAAACTGTATTTTCCATTATACTCGTCAAACTCATAATTATTATCAGCCTGGAAACCAGATGTTAGGTTTAGTTAATTTTTCAAATTTACTAGAATGGTTACGAAATTATATACATGTGGTAGCTAAAAATTGGTTATCATTTAAAATCATTAAATAAAAAAAAATTAGTTAAAGTTTGTAATGACCATCAGAAGTAGCAGGTCAAAGTTTTTATATTAATAAAAGAAAAACCGAAAACTGAAATAGATATCTACCATTTCATTCCATGATCATCTTGCAACCTGTCACCGCAATATTCCAACGTCATAATTTACAGAAAGGAAAAAAAAAAAAAAAAAAACTATTTACAGAAAGGAAGAAAAAACAACCTATGATGAACATGATATTTTGCCTAAGTTTGAGTCCCAGATGTGAATTTGACTTCTACAATATCGAAGTAGCTAACACAGAGTAATAATACTTTCAAAACTGCCAAATGAAACATTAGTGAACCATATATTCCCTTGTCCATACATTGTGTCTTTTTAAAAATATTACTGTTGATAGATTTATAAAATGAATATAAATGAACAAAGAACTCTACATGATGTAACAAAAAGTAAACATCTACATGTCATTATATACGAGCATTGAACGCTTTACACTTTCACTGTTGCTACCGCACGTTATTTTTTTTGGGGTAGTTTTTCGTTTTTATTCATTAATTAATAGTGCATTATTAGGTAAAAACATATATACTTAAAATAAATCATATTGGTTTTTTTTATTTTCATAGTTTTTTTGTGATTGTAATGTATTCACAAACACACTTGACCATGTATTAAAACAATAATACATTAAATAGTACATGTTGTTTAAATCTTTCAGACATTAATATTTTCAGCTTCGAGCCTCATTTAATATGAAATAGAAAAATTTTAAAAAAAAATTTGTTACCATAATAGTGTTTAATCTTCTTTCAATATTTGCTTATTCCTGTTTTTATTATTTTTATTACCATTGTTTATTTAGCTAAACTAAGAGTGAAATGGATACTTATGTTTTATCATAGCTGTCACAGTCTCGCTTGACATTAACTCTTATTCGTTCACCTCGGGTCCAGAAGGTGAAGAGCACGAGAAACCTCTGACATAGAAAGAGGAAGTAAGAATGACTAAGTTCACTTTAAGTCAGTTGAGTCGTCTTTGGGACTTGAGACAGTGCACATATTTTGGTAGTTGCTTTCTGTACTTAGAGCTGGATACATGGTAATGAAGCTTATTGTTACCCGCTGTGATGCGGACCTATTTTAGTAGTGAAGTTGTATTATAGAGGACTTATGATATTTTGTGTACGCTGGGATGCCTATGTAATTATATTTCAATACATTGGATTATCTTTGTGTAACTACCATGAGATTTAATAAACGTCATATTTGTCTGCTAAAGTTTGGATTTAAGTCAATTTATTCACTTAAGTCAGTTGAGTCGTCTTTGGGACTTGTGACAGTACAGATATTTTTGGTAGCAGCTCAGCGGCCTTCCTTTCTGAAGACACGAGATTTTGAGTTCGAATTAAGGCTTGAGAAACTTTTTTTTTAAAGTAGGTTTTCAAAAGGCAGCAAGGAAGCCTTCTCCCAAATACCCCCCCCCCCCCCCACACCAACTGAATCTTAATAGCAGAGAGAGTGATTTGGGATGGGGGCTGTTAAGAATGAAATGGTAGCTTACGACCATAAGAAATAACTCATTGGTGTTGATGACGGTTGTTGACTTCAAATACCTAGATTTCTGGAGAACAACTAAGCCGTTGTAGGTGTATTATATTTTAAATGATAAAACTTGAAATAACTTGAATACTTTTCTTTGTTAACAATACTAAATATAACTTTTACTATAATATAGACAAATTCAACTTGATATGAAATAAACTGATATTTTAAACAAATCTAACTCATAATAAAAACACGTCTTTACACCAAGGCATCCTGGATTCGTCAGGCGTACTTAATGCAGCTTACGACAGCGCCGCTTATCTTGCATCATTCTAACATTAACTTAATGGTCTCTCTCTATACAGCTAACAATAAATACTACCTTTCTTCATAATCACTTTGATAACACACACACACACTCCCAAACAGGTGGTCAAGTGAATCTGTTGTAGGAATCTTAACACATTTGAGACCAAAAGAAAATCCGCTGCCGAGGACAGACGCAGACGGCAATCGACCACCGGCGAACAATGGTTATGCTTGCCTGATTGTGACACAATATGTAGGTCACAGCTGGGGCTTCGTATCCACGGGAAATATTGCATTCCTCATTACTCTTCGGACTCGAAGACAAGCCTTATTATTATTACTAGAAGAAACATCCTGCCAAGCGATGCTGCAGTGTCTGTTGGTGCTGTTCAATCCAAATCAGCAATATATGACTTGTGAAAACGTTGCAACATATTTCCATATAGTGTAGAAATACAACAATGTTATTAGAATGGCGAGAGTTAAAATGGCAAGAGTTAAAATGGAAGAGTCAAAATGGTGAGAGTTAAAATGGTGAGAGTCAAAATGGTGAGAATCAAAATAATGAGAGCTAAAATGGTGAGAGTAAAAATGGTGAGAATTAAAATGGCGAGAGTTAAAATGGTTAGAGTTAATATGGTGAGAGTTAAAAATGGTGAGAACTTAAATGGTGAGAGTTAAAATGGTTGAGTTCAAACTGGAATATAATCTGAAAGATGAGTGGCGGGGGTACGAGGGCAGCTTATCAATGAACACCAAAAACGTGTGTGTGTGATTGACCTTTCTCCCCCCTCCATCCTCTTACCATAAATCCCACTCCTGATGACGTGTCACAATTATATATGTACAAGAACAGCTGCCTTCATGTTTTCTTTAGGGCTTAGCATTATTTGGATAAGGTCGGTTGTTAAATTAACAACTTGAAATGTCGACACATGTGGCTATTGGTAAGAACAACATGGGCCTGAGCTCGCGCACAAGTTAATGATATCTGCACACATCAAAGTAAGGGTTGAATGTAAGGGATTACATCAGCTTAAAGAAGGAACCTGCGTACATTGTGGCACTCTTCTGTTTCTCCCAGCCCCTACGTTCTCTTTCTCATAGCTCACGTCTCTTATAGTTTATTGTTATCCTCTGTCTGTCTCTTTCTTCTTCTCTCTATCACTCTGTTTCTCTCTCTCTCTTTCTTTCTCTCTCTCTCTCCCCCTCTATCTTTCTTATTTCTCTCTCATTTTCTCTCTTTCTCTGTCTCTGTCTCTGTCTCTCTCTCCCCCTCTATCATTCTTATTTCTCTCTCATTTTCTCTCTTTCTCTGTCTCTGTCTCTCTCTCACTCTTGCTCTCTCTCTCTCTCTCTCTCTCTCTATATATATATATATATATATATATATATATATATATATATATAAATATTCTTAACCGAGATTCGAACCCAAGATCTCTCGATTCGTATGCCAAGAGCTTCACCAATTGCATATTGACTGAACTTTGTTTAAAAAAAAATTGCTAACCACATTAATTAATTAATCTCCCCTCCCGGCCCCCTTTCTCTCTAGCTGAAAATAAGAGAAATAGTAATATATGTCTTTTAACTCGGAATACAATAAAAATTATTTTTAAAATTTTAATTTGCTGAAAGGAGGAAAATTAAGCATAGTAGATAATAGTTTAAAGTTTCTTTGCGAAGGTTGCAATACGATTGCTAGAACAAAGAAAGATTAAAAACAAAGATAACTTCCACATTTCTCTTCTCTAATCCTTTTTTTTAAAATAGAGTTTTTTTATAGCGCAACTTTCATAAGTATAGCATTAGAGCGCTATGGTCCCATCTCATTTGTAGACCAGTTGGGGTAGGGGTATCTGGGAGAAAGTTTTTCCGTGCTACTTTTTAGGCGCTCAATAATACACAACTTTACTTGAGTCAAGTGTCGAACCATGAACCCCCTCGATAGGTAGCCAAGCCCAAGCGCAGTCGGTCTCTCGATCACACATCCCACATCTTTATCAGCCTTTGTAAAAGAACAGCTGTATGCTGAACTGTAAACCGCAACACTTGGACCTGTGTTACGATGTTACGGGGACTACACATCTGGAAGAGTATTCCCCCTTGAATGACACAATGACCTGTTGCTTAAGTGTTCCACCACTCAAGTTAAACTCAAAAATACAACACATTCATTCAGCTCTAAAAACACCACAAAGCTATGTGAAACAATCATTGGCCTCCCTTAGTCGTAGAACGTCTATGGTTCATCTCAAAGCACACTTCCTCATGTGGCTGTGGAGCCCTATTCTGGAGAGACACTCCCGTCCACAGATAGCGCAGGTTAAGGTGGCTTTCGCTTCGGTGGTAGAGGAGCTGGCCGTTTTTCGGATTGTACGTTTTTCTTCCTGAGCTGAGACCCATGTACTTTCACTGTCCATAGCTTTCTTGGTCACTGTCTCTCTCTCCATTTGTTGCGGTCTAGAGCTATGTCCTGTGAAACAATACAGGCAGGTTGAAAATGCTCGTTAAACCATCATTACTAATAATTAATAACTATCAAAAATTTTTATTTAAGAAAACTCTTCTTCTGGACCTTTCTCCATGTGGATGGTCGTTTGCATAGATATAGTTCTATAGACTTGCTGCATGGATTCTTGTTCACACTTATAGACAACTGTTTTTAACTTGTAAAGACTAAATCAGTCAATGTCTAGTGACTGCATTTATTTTTGTTTTGGCTGCAAAATAGGATAGAACAACGTTACCATTTATTTGGATTAATTAAATAAACTTATATGCTGCACCCAACCCATGAATGCGCCACCTAGAAGTGGCTAAATACATTACAATGACTCTTTATGACGTAATGCTATTAAGATTAAATCAGGCGCCATTTTGCCCTCATTGGAATATAGAAATGTAGCTGGCAACAAATGGCACCTGAAAGAGACAGTAGGAGAGCTCTTACGAAGGCAGCGGGACACACATTTGAGGAAAACCCGTGTGTAAAAAAAAAGGCGCAGAAGAAGTAAGGAAAACTTCAATAGAACCCTGCTGGACAACGACTTCAATCAGATACGGGAAAATATGCTGGTCGCAACTGGGCTTGCGTAGCCATGTCAAACGCTGGACTCATCATTAATCTACGTATTTGAGAGAGATTGCCATCATTAGTATAATGCAAAAGTTCAAGCATATTTACGTCTTAAGAGAAGAATTTTTATGGGTAACTTCTCTAGGGACTAAAAGACCAAACTTAGATACACATGCACGATCACAAGTTTAGGCATTTCTAAGCAGTAGATGCTGTGAACGTGGGCATTGACATTAGTAAGTCAACATTTCTACAG